CTCAAACCAATGTGTACCAACAAGTGCAATTTAAAATTGTGGTTCAATAAAAATTTACAAATTGGCAAGATAGTTTTATAAAGGGTTCTCCAAGAACTTTTGAAGCTGTAATTTTTTGATCCTTGACAAGTAAACTCTGCGTCAGTATTAAAAATGGAACGATACACGCTTCATCGGCGTATTGAAAATATTAATTATTATTGAAATATTTATTATTGAAAAGCTCCTCCTTGCTTTAAGTGTTGGTTTTGAATGGATTGCTCTATCCAGATATTATTAATGTTTTTTATGGCCGTAATTTATTGTAATGATCTGGATAAGGTTTCTTTCAACAAGACGGCGCTACATGCCACACAAGCAACTAAACCAAAGATCTTTTAACGGAATATCAAGATAACACCCCTTGTTGTACATACAAGTAAATATATTAAACCGAACTCATATAGTGAGCGCAGTTGTATGCGTTGATTTTCGATAATTCCCTGCATTTGTCTGGGAAAGACCAGATTTTATATAAATTTAAATTATTTCCGTTTTAGTTTTTAACGAATTGTCTCAGAACATATATTTTTGGGAATATGTGAAAAAATTACAACAACAGTCTTGGACGGTATAAGTTCTAGCGGCTACTTCGGAAACCACCACGTTTCCTCATAAGACTTCTTTTTCCAGAGACCGTTGTACGAATTGGATTCGAACTGGGGATGCCCACAGCATGAGTCAATGGTTATACCATTAAGCTACATGTCTGTCGCTTTAACTTATTGTTTTTTTTCCCAATTACCTACATATCCACGATCAAGTGTTCAGATATACTGTATTCCGATTGAATGACAAATTTATTTGAATGATATCAACAATTGAATTAAACAGTAAAGATAGATTTTTAAGGAAAATGTGATGGCAGGGAGGTGAAATAATCACTTACACAACACAAGGCTTACATTAAGGTGTGTTAGTGCATATAATTATAACTATTTTATTCTCAGTTTTTTTTTTTACTTAACATAAGTAAATAAGCATCAAAGTCTCCGAAAGTGAAGACGATGAACAAAAAGATAATAATCTCAATTGAAAGAGGAGAAATAAAGCTCTTGCAGAATTTGCTTGCATTTATGCAAAATCCAATAAATTCTACAATGCTCAGTAAAGATTGATGGCTAATACGGAAAGAAATATTCAAGCTCATTTTCTTATTTCAAGCATCGTTCTTAAAAATCTAGGCTACGAAATTTAAAGGTAGTTTTACTTTCTCTTTGCCTTCATAGCTATTTGACATTAAAAGTATTTTTCGTGCTACTTTATTCTCTTAAAAAAATCTACCATTTTTAAATAAGAAAATGTGCAGATAAAATCACGTAATTTTTTATTTTGAAACACCCGATAATGAGCCTCATCGAGTGTGTATGTCTTCCCTGTATTACAAGTTTAGTAAATTGTAAGAAAGTATCGAAAAGGGAAGAGATTCGCACACCAAAATTTGCATCGAATTCAAGAAGATGAGGAGCTGACTGAATTTGGCCCATCACACAGGTTTAGAGATGTTTCAAAGAAAGCAGAGAGGATATTGTTTTAATAATTGTAGGTTTTTAGAGTAGTGCAAATTCATTATAAAAATCTTTTAATTACGCTAAAAGTCGCTTAATTTGATTAAATTGCCAACCAGTTTTGAATTCAATCTAACCGCTAATTATATTGATATTTGGAAATCTATAGTCAGTTAGTTAGTTTAACGGGTTGCTCCATGTTGGTTCTGTGAAGAAGATTCCTCTCACTTTTCCTGTTGCTCTAACCACTTGGTTTATTTTACCCAATTCAGGAGATTAATGACTTATGGAGGCCCTCTTTAGAAGGAGTAAGAACCTAGTTCTACTCACTTCGATCAATTGCACGTGGTTCCATTCTTTCATCTGCTGTTGGCTCTTCTGGTGAAGGCCAGTCTTAACAAATATGTACTTAGCAGAGGAAAGAGGTATGCCTACATCATGATCAGAGTCTACCGACATTGCGATTGTTTCCTATCCGTCAGCTCATCAACCACGCAGTTCCCTGGGGTGTCCCTATGACCAGGTAGCCAAACCATAGACGTTTCGCATATGGACGAGAAAACCTATAAGGCTAAGTTTCGACAAAAGTAAAAAATGTCGACGTTTGTCATTTCGTTTGTCATAAAAAGCATATTTTCTTACTTCTGTGACCTAAGAAGAATGTGTTAAAACAAATATTTTAATGTTTTGATCTATTGTGGTGTTTTCAAAAATAATTTACAAATCTCCAAGCTGAAGATTTTATAAGTGGCAAGATCAAGCATTTCTGTGCAATCACGTTTATTGTTTTTTTTAAGTGAAACTACCCTATAGAATTTTTGTATCATGTGTACGAGTATGTAATTGTCTAACCTGACTGCGTGGCTAGTTTTTACTGAGCCTTGTTCGGTTAAAATACATAAAATTTCTGTCTTGTGGAGTCTTATTCTTTTAATTTTGTTACTAGTTAATCTGACAGACTCTTCCCGCCAAACAAAGCAAATATTACGACTTAAAACTTTATATTTTAATGCTCACGGTATTTCAATCATTTTAACCAGTACTACATTTTTTACATGTGAATTTTTAACAATTCGTAAATATGACATTGCATGGATGATGGAGATAGCAAAAACTCTGTTCGGTAAGAAATGTCAGTAAGAATTAGCAATTAACGAAATTAAGAGAGTAAAATGTTTACTTATTTTTATTTTATGGGCAAAAATGTAACCACATAATCACAATTTTCCCAGCGCAAGTTTCTCTCCAAACTTAACGTCAAAATTACACTCACTCGCTATTAAATTTACTGTTTTTTTGCTTCACCAAGCGTGGTTTAGTAAAATTCAGTAACAATTGTTACTGTCCATCAGCTCACCGAACAGAACTAATGCTTACAATCTGCATTGCTCGCATTATTCAATTGAAAAAAAAAAATACAGTTAACGAAGAGCTTATATTGGATTATCAGTTCTGATTGAATCTTAATTGAAAAGAAACAACAGATAAAATGCAAAGTATTCTTTCATTATAAACAAACCGTTTGATGAAGGGGGGACTTCAGTGGGAGCTTTATTTCGACAGCATGCTGTGGGTAAATGTAATTACAACATTAATTGAGTGTGCCAAGTTAAGTGTCCACCAGAGTAAAGCTGTTAATATCGTCAACCAAAAAGACTTCTCCGTTTCATACTGAATTATTAAATTAAAACAGGAAATTCTATATGTATGTATGTATATCCAGAGTATTTAAATAAAGAAGCGATACATTTTGGATTTCATTATTTAATTATTTTCTTGAATAATTTTTTTCCACAACTCATTTATTTACTGGATCTGCTTTAATATAAGTCTAACAGTAAGTATACAAATCTTAAAAACTAAATTACAAACATGATAGCTCAAGTTAGTTAACTCTGAGCACTTTGCAAACTACGGCGCTCTCCTCAGAAGGCGGGAACATTTCTTCGCTGCAGGCGGGTATTAATTTACACAGATTTCGATACTTCCATATACATCCATTACTTGTGCACTTACAGACATTCTGTTGGGTAAAATAGTGCATACAGTGAAGCTAAGCATCCATTGCAGTGCCCATAGTCATAAAGCAGTCGTCAACAGACTACTGTGTATTATTATTTTGTATTTCACAGAATTTGCTTCCAGTTATCCTGTTTGGCGCCAATTGGAAATATAAGTACTGCCAGGTTCTTTCTTTTCTACCTGTTCTTTCCAACAGAGCGGAGATATTTCTCTTCCTTTTCGACCATCAACGGCTACTGCATCAAAATTTTTCATAGCTGGAGTATTCTTATCCATCCGGACTACATGACCTGGACAGCAGAGCCAATCTCAATGCAGCAGCATTTGCAGTTGCCGATGCGCAAATGACCATAAATCTTATGCAAAACCTTTCTCTGGAAAACACCTAACGTCGGCTCATCAGATTTAATTTTCAACTGCCTACTCAGTCCGAAATAGCACCTGTTGTCAAGAGTGATTCAGTGTTCAAGTCGCGATGGCGATGATTGTTAGTTCGATAATCGGTTATATTTCGCTTTGCCCTCGTTCACTACTAGCCTTCCTTATCCAGTTTGACGAAAGCTGAACAAACAGCACAATTGTTGAGGTCAGTAATGTCAGCTGTACACTTCTATATAAGATTCAACATTTGCTATTCAGATCTGTAGCTCTTATTGTTCTCCCCAGCAATAAATTAAAGTAGACACCTTGTCTAAATCATAGTATCGTATCGGAGAGGTCCCTTCAGATCACAACTAAAATGTTGATGTTACTCAACGTTAGTTTACATAGCCGTATAACTTTTGTGAGGAGACCGAATAGCGGGAAAGAGGCGGCTCCTTTTCGTGCAGTCTAATGCTGCTTTAAAATCAACGAAAGGGTGGTGCGTGTCGATCCTCTTTTCAAGGGTCGCTTCCAAGACTAAGCATACGGTGATTATCTAGTCAATGGTTGATTTAGCAGGTCTAAAGCTGCACTGATTAGATCCAATCAAGCCAACTTTATTCACAATATAAGGTGTTAAGATCGGTATGGATCCTTGTTGACTGGGTCACACCACTGTAGAATATTTAAGGGCTAATTAAGATTGTATGCAATTGGCGCTTTGTAACTGCTGAAGCGATTTTTCAAAAGAGCTCCTCCAATTTGTGGTTTTGCGTCCTGATGTTTTTCCAACAAATGGAGTGACCTATAGTTATACTAAGCCGCCTCCGAACGGGTGATCGTTTTTTTACAAGGAACTTTTATTTTATTTTATTAGACAGAAATACACTCGGAGGCGTTGACATCGCCGAGGGGCGACCGAAATTAAAAATTTAACTTAATTTTTTATTTTAAACTTTAATCAATGACAACAGCAGGTTTAGCAAGCCGAATGTGAGCAACATATTCTTTGACGGTCGAAATAGACTTTGCGCTTACTACCGTTCTTTGAGCAAAGTTTAAAAAAATCTTCGCAGGCATTGATATAATAGACAATTGAAAATTTCCAGTCATTCGTTTTACATTTTTTTTTAAAAAACTTTTATTGTAACGATACAAAATTTTTTAGTCAATTTTTATTGTTTTGGTTTCGTTAAAATCTGTTTTTTTTTTAATAATTTACAAATCATGGGTCACTGTATGCGAGGGGGTCCTATTACCAGCAATGGTTACTTAAATTTTTTACGCGAATTCAGGAAGAAATGCTGTGGACTGTCGGCGGTGGAGACAGTGCGACAAGGAGCAAAGCTTTGGAATCGACTGTCGTGTAAACAAAAAGACAAATACCGTTTGATGGTGAGTAAAAGCAAATCAATATTGATAGGAATAAAGCATGGAATTTTCGAAATTCTGGTGAATTTTAATGCAGGGCCGCAATGCAAGACCAAGAAGGCGACGTTGCGCCCCTAAACGTAAACGGCGCTCATGTGCACCTAGGCGCAGAAAACGTCGCTCTTGTGCGCCTAGGCGCAGAAAACGTCGCTCTTGTGCAAGGAAGCGAAGAAGACCGCGCTGTGGTAAGAAGCGACGTCCGAAACGTCGTCGTAGCTGCCGACCAAAACGTTCACGTCCGCGTCGTCGTCCGCGAGGTTGTTCCCGCCGCCGTAAACGCTGCATGAAACCTGGTCCAGTAACAGCGAATGCATTTTTGAATTTCCTACGCGCCTATAGGAGGAAACATTGCGGCCTAACGCCACAGGAGACTGTGAAAAAAGGCGCGCGCAGATGGTGCTCATTGTCACCGGAATGCAAGAGACGTTACATGCGCCAGGTATATAACTGCAATTGATGGCTTCGAAAATGAAAGCTTTTTAATTTGTGAAATTTCAAATTTTTTTCTCATAATATTTCATTTAACAGGCGTGCAAAATGTCAAAAAGTAAGCGTAAAAAGAGAAGCCGCATCTGTCGATCCTTCCATAAGAAGAGGCGATGCTAAATATCAATATGAAGAGTGCGTTAATTAATGTATGTTTGATAAATTGTTATGTGAAATTATACTTTTCGTAAATAAAAATATGCAAAAGAAGTATACTTAAAAAGCAATTAAGTGTACTTACTGACCATGATTCAATAATTAAAGCTTGGATAAATAAACAGTTTTCTCGCTGCCTCTTAACAAAAAGGCTCTCCTACTGAAAAACCGTAATGGTTCTTTGTAAAAAAAAGGATTTTTTTGGAACAAATTTTAAAAAAATAGCTAATTACAAATTTTTTTATGAAAACATTCGATATACATCACATACTCTTTTCTAATTTTTACAACTATTTTATTACCTATTTATTTTTTCTTATTGTGGAATATACGAATCGTATACACCTCTAAGTTGGTAGTTAAATATGTTTTATAACGAACTTTGCAGATAAATGGATTTCGTCAGCTATTCATCACCATGTTTGATTAGTTCTGCCGGTGGGCTGTAAGCTCCAGCCGCTTTATTTTTCTTTGAGAGCTAATCGCTATTCGAACCTCAACATAATCAAGTAGAGTAGGGACTTTTTATGTTCCATTTTTTGCTGATATTTCGATATACAAATACGAGGGAAGTAACAAAAGTTCGGCAAGTTGTCCAGAATAAAAGAAAAATATTTTTTTTTTTATCTATTCGTAATTTTTGTTCTTTTTAATCTTCTCTACATAACCGTTATTGATTTCAATGTATTTCTTAAGCCTATAAATCCACTACTGAAAACAGGCTTCAAATTTTTAATAAGCAAGATTATCAAATTCAGCATTAACCGCTTTAGTTATCTCCTCGTTGATGTTAAAAACCTTTCCCTCAAAATTTTTTTAAATCTTGGAAACAACCAGAAATTACAAGGTGCTACATCCCGGAAATATATATTAGAATTTCTGCCCTTGGATCGAAGGATCGCAATAAATTTACTTGTTATTTCAGCAGTCTTTCTTCCTGTTTTCCAAAAAATGTTTGAAAACTTTCCAGTGGAACAGCAGCTCCAAATTTAGGTCAGGCGAAGTAAACTGACATCATTACTTATGCTGCTGATTTTTGTTGCTTAGATTTTACGGGTGGGTTAGTTCCTTTTGGGCTTTATCCAATGGACCGCTGTTTGGTTTCTGGATCGTACTTATAGAACCACGATACGTCACCAGTAACGATTTTACTAAAGTTGGTAGACTGACCATTTTCGAATTAGTTTAGGAAAATTTGAGCAAAATGCACTCGGGCCTCATACAAAATTCTCAGATGATTACTTTATATTTGCGATGCAGCCATGGCATTGAAGCTCAATTCATTACCATTCATTTCTTGAGCCAATTGTGGGTCTTCGTTACTTTTGGACTTCACCAGAGCTATAAATGGGAGATTTTGTTCGACCTTCTCGATGCTCGTTCTCCACGGAAAAATGTCCTTTCTGGAATCTTCGGAACCAACTTAGAAATATTCTTTAAAGACAGTGCAATCGTCCCATATATTTTTGTATTCACTGAATATTTGTATTGGCTGTATATTACGCCGAAACCCGAAGCGAGTCTCATGCCGAAACTGTTTGCGTAGGTGGTGGAATTTCGTCTGGCGTAGCCTCAACTATCTTGCGTTTTCTCATCTCCATTTTAGCCGATCGGTATTGGACTTGAAAGAAAGGCTAATAAAAAAATTTCAAAGAATTTGGTATTTTTAGATTTAACAAAAACAAATTGAAAATCTCAAACTGGCCGAAGATTTGTTAATCCCCTCATACGTTTATATTATATGCATAACAACTTTTTTATTTTTTGAAAGTGTACCTACGAAATCAAAATAAGTTTTCTGAAGTTAAGTTTCCAAAATTTAAAATAAAGTTATTTCATCAAAAAAAGTGTTTTTTATGTATAGTAAAAGGATATTTACTTTTTCTTATTTTCCATTCACTTGTGGATCTATTGACAGGACAATTTTGATTGAAAATCGGTAGTAAAAAGTCCTTTATCTAGAAGGACTTGGTTTTTAAATCTTGTTTCTATAATTATTATTATATACCCTGCGGTTTTGCACCTTCCACTCAGCCTCAAGAGCCGATCACGATGAGCAGGAGTTTATTAAATGTCTAGAACTAATAAAAGTGCCACTACAGAACAAAGATTCATCCACTGATTTCAAGCGCGTAACTTAATTCAAGTATATAAAGATATTTTTAAATAGTTTACAGTCGACAAAATTATTTTCTTAATATGAAAGACCGAGTCAAATATGTCAAATGCGCTAGAATGAGAGTTGAAATTTAGACACAAATTTTTCTTAAAATTCAAAATTCTTTATAAATTAAAAAAAAAAAACAAGGTACAAACATGTCGTCCAAACGGTATGTTAAATTTTAATTCAGAAAGAAGAAGTGGACTAGTGGTTTTCCCCCTACTTACATATTAAATTCCACCTCGCATTTTTCTACAACAGTTTTAGGTAAGAAGGATAACGGACGTTATTATAAAGTTTCGCTTCAACCAGTTGCCGGGATCTGGAAAATTACCGACTTTGCTCTCAATATTCTGTGTCAGGTATACCCTAGGCTTCAGAACTACATAAATATAAGTAGAGTAAATGCGGGTATTGCGGTACACCAGCTTTTCTCGGAAAATATAAATGAGAAAATAACGGGACGTCGAGAAATAGGTCGGTTTCCTCAGATTTTTAATGAAGCGAGTTTTAACTTGTGATTTGCAAGCGATGCCGATAGTCACTTGAAATAAAAGTGATGCGGTGGGCTTTTTCTTGTGTTCGGACAAAATGATTTTTAACAGACAAATCTTGACTTTTAAACAATGATCACTAATCGAGAGGTTACAAGTAAGTATTATATTAATCAACACTTAATAAGTAATATTTTGTATACATTTTTGTGTAATTTATTGTCAATAAAAAATGTGGTAAAACTCTATACAGCCGACATGGTGGTATAGGCAAGGACGGCTACTTCTCTCAACTGCAAACAAGCCGAAAAAAGGTGAAATACCAAAGTGGAAAGCGGAGAATATGAAAAAAGCATTATAAACAGTAAGGCTTGGCTTCGAAAATATTCAGTGTCTCTCATAATACCGTATGCCCGTTGCGTTTATTGTAAATTTTATAAACTAACAAATTTAATGTACGAAATATATTTAACGTGTAAGATGACTTTTGAAGCGGTCACGTCCGTTTAATTTTATGTTTTACAGTTTTTGAAATAATTTATTGTTTTTCAAGCTTACAAACATTTTGTATTATTTAAGGGGAAAAATATTGTTGTTCACTGTACTACGATTGCCTCTTTCTGGCTTTAGAGGTATTTTTCCAAATTTTTCTAAAACTGTTAGCTGTAGACATATTGCCTCTCGCTTCACATGTTTGTAATATTTGTGTAATCTGAAAACTCAATTTTCGTTGATGTTGGTTAAAAGTTCTGGATTTTGCAAGGGAAAATAAAATAGGTATTCCCCATTACCCGCACTTACGTTAATTTAGTAGCGACGAGCTTTCATTTGCACCTAAAAGCGGTCGGGTAATCACCTCAGGATATCGAAATGGTAAATGATATTACGCACAATTATCTTATTGGGATTGTAAGGTTAGTACAGTTTTCTGAATATTTTTATTCTACAGCAGTGGTATCAAGGAATATACGGTTATAATCAGCCAATTGGTTAAAAAAAAAAACAATATAATACGTACATATATATAGAAAGGTACCAAATACTGGCGCTTACCCATAAGTATAATCTTGTCAAAATAATTTACGAAAACCTTTTAAAAGAAAATCACAAATTTGACTAATTTTCTAAGAGATAAGAAAAAGGTTCATTGTGAAATTATTGGCAGCAACGTAATTCACTGAAAAAACTAGAGTAAGAATCCTAAAATTACTACGTTCAAGTCTTTCTTTATGAGAATTTACATAGACCGTTTTCGGATTTTGAGTTAATATAAGTCGTTATAAAATTTTGCCGATTTGCCAAAGGAAATTTTAGAAAAAAAAAATCATTAAGTTCAGTTTCTCTGGTTGTCAAAGTCTTTGCTGTTAAAATCAACTAAAATTTCAAAATAAAAATTGCTTTTTTTAAGTCAATAATAATTTCAATTAAATACATACGTCATAAATAGCTTTGGATCGAAGAAATATGTTCAAAAAAATATTAATTCGTGCGATATTCTAAGAGAGGGCTCTGCTAGTATTATTTCGAGTCGTTTTCGGTAGATGTCATTTGTTTAGCGAAAACAATAATTTGTTTCATTCATTTGATAAAGTCGAAATTTGTCCCAGATAAAGTGTTTTTGCGGGGAGTTCTTCTTCATTACTTTAACATGAGGAAAAGTGCTACCGAAAGCCATCGTATTTTACTGGACGTTTATGGTGACCATGCTTTAGCCGAACGAACGTGCCAAAAGTGGTTTGCACAGTTTAAAAGTGGCAATTTCGACTTAAACGACGGACAGCCAAAAAAAGTTCAAGACGAAGAATTGGAGACATTGCTCGACGCAGATGCATGCCAGACGCAAGAAGAACTTGCGAAAGTATTAGGAGTTTTAGAGCAATCGTTTCCAGACGATTAAAATCATTAGGATTCATCCAGAAGCTTGGAAATTGGGTTACTTTTGAATTAAAGCCAAGAGACGTGGAACGCCGATTTTCCACGTCGGAAATGTTGCTTCAACGCCACCAAAAGAACTTGCTTTTGTATCGGATTGTCACTGGCGCTGAAAAATGGATTCATTATTATAACCCAAAGCGCAAGAGATCGTATGTGAAGCCCGGCCAACCATCGACATCCATGGCAAAGCCAAATATCCATGGTGCCAAGGTTATGGTATGTATTTGGTGGGACCTCAAGGGTGTGCTCTATTTTGAGCTATTGATATTGGGTCAAACGATCAATGGGGACCTCTACCGAAAACAATTGATTCGTTTGCAAAAGGCCAACCAGAATATGCGACCAGACACGAATCAATAATTTTTTACTATGACAACGCTTGGCCACGTGTTGCAAGGCCAGTAAAAAATTATTTCGAAAACTGTGGGTGGGAAGTTCTAGCACCTTCCAATTACCACTTGTTCAGATCAATGCAGAGTGT